AGTAGTACTTGACCCTAGGCCCTCCTGACTCTGAAGCCAGTCCTCTATCCATTGTGCCATGGCACCTCTCTGGGATTGATAACCAAGCTTCAAAGTAAAGATATATTAAGATATGACCTAGTAGTAGTCCTTGAAAAGTTCAGGTCAGCTGGCTCAGGTGTACTATATTCTATGTACTGAAACAACTGGCAGATGTGATTGCTTGTTGAGGCATCATCAGGAATTTGGGAAAGACTATGCACAACAGCACATGTCCTATTGAAGGTGGTAAAATGTCATGACTTTTTTCAAAAAAGGAAACATGGAATCTGCAAAATAGGACAAAGTAAATGTGGTGATTCCTTGTAAAGATTTTTTAAGGTATTGAATCTCAAAGTTATACAGGAAATGATTGTTTCAATCCTTGCTGTTAACAAAGGAAATTTCAGCAAAGCTAAGAGGGAAATTGCATCTAACAGCATATACAGCATTCTCTGTGTACAGATACCTCCTTCTTTCCTGAAAGCAGAGTGCCATGGTTCATCACCAGTTCTCCTGGCCTAGGATTGCTATTGTAATTTCTCTGAATTCACATTCCAATGACTGTGCTGATTACATCAAACTACAGACTGCCACAGGATCTTCTTAAATGTGCCCAAAAGTCTGGTTGACAATCTGCACCTGACAAACCATGTGGATGAAGAAAGCGTATTGCTCAGATGATGACATGCAGTTGGACTGGTAGACGACTGAGTTTGTCCAGCAGTTTACATAAATAGGCCATGCAATGCAGATAGACTGAAAGTTGACTAGGAAGTAGAAAATAATAATTTGGTTGCATTTAGGAAATTGTGCAATGCTTTCTGTGATTTTAAGCTGCTCCCATAGCATAGTTCATTCCTTCAACATCAATAATCTCCTGGCGCTGTTATGAAGGAATGAAAGAAATGCAATAGCAGAAAACAATCCAAATTGTCGATGAACGAAAAGGCAATGGAAAGACATGGATAGAGGATAGAAGTATACCAATGATAACCTGAATGAAAATCATTATCAAGGACTTCTATGAGAGGAAAAGGAGGTAATGTAATCATAGAGTGAAAGTGAAAGTAGTTAGATAACCTAAACATTCTAGGCATCCACAAAATATTAAATGAACCAGGAGTAGGCTGTTTCTATGGTGCCTTTTTAAAAAGACATGAACCAGAATCAGAGAGGCTTGACCAAATATGCATAATTTGTCATCTCAAACATCATAGATCCAACAAGACTGTTATGTTGATTAATATGGATTTTTTTGTCTACAAGAAGAAAGGTTATGACAACTATAAAATAGGCTTCCTTTCTGGGAAAGGTCACTGTACACACATTCAGATCTATGCTATGATCCTAGCTTCAGAACTTCAGTATTTCAGATGGTCTGTGATTTCATCATTGTGGTTATCCCCTCCCCCATGGACACAGACTGCATCTCCTGTGACCTAAAATTTCACATTCTGCCAACAAGATGATGAGCAACACAGAATTCCTCTTGGCTGGTTCTTGGACAACTTCTTTATAAACAATTGTCAGTGAGTCCATTCTATAAGACTTTTTGGCTTGATAGAAAATGTTGGCATAGCCTTCAAGTTCAAGGCTTCACAAAAATTACACTTTCACCAAATAAACTGGCAAAGACATGAATGCTCTTGGGCTCAGCGTGTTCTGAAGAAAGGCTCTTAAGGGTGGAGGCTAAGCATCTTCTATATACCCAAAAGCGGTCACTTTCATCTCTACCAGCACAAGTCATCTTCCACCTCCTGCTGCCAGTTTGGTCTCTCAATTGGATATTGGAGACCCTCCAGTGCAAAGAAGAGCCACCTTCCCTTCAACTTCAGGCCTCCCATTTCCTGCTACAACACCTGTCCCTTCAGGGTAGAGGATGGTGCACTCCACCTAATGATGAACATTCTCACACGTGGTCATACATTTCATTTCCCAGTGACTCTGAACTCACATAGATCATCACCCAAATCCTATTCCATGCCCCCCCCACTTGATTCCTCTTTCCCATCACCTTCAACCCTCTTACTCCAAAGTTCCATGCTAACTCCGCTCAGTTCTTCCACTGTGCCCTGTGCATTTCCTGTTCCACCGGCAACAAACTTTCCTTCATCTTAAATCTATTCCTCTCCCATCATTCCACCTACTAGGTAGTATTGAAACCTAGATTTCCCCTAATTACATAGTCTCCCTGGCCACCCCTTCCAGTACTGGATGTACTGTTACTCATTCTCCTTGGCTTACTGGTTGAGGCAGGGAAATTGGAATACTCCTTGCACCCCATTGCCACTTGCAAGTTCTCCTCCTTCTATCACTCAGTAACATGCAAGTGGCAAGGATGTGGGACAGGATTTGAACTCAGGGGTTCCAAATTCCAGGTCCAGCACCCTGCCTACTACAACACTTAGTTCCCATCATTTCTCTGCTCCACACAGGGGTGTAAGTTTTGGCAATTAGGCTATATTTTCTGCAGTAGAGCATTCCCTGGGATCTACTTCTAAAATGACTGATATAGATTTATTTACTCAAAATATCTCAATTCATAACAGACCTAGGGTACCAGTTAAAAAGTGCTAGAATATCATATACACCAACAAGCTTTTATCCTTTCTGAGATAACCAGTTTGTGGATAGGGTAGGGGAAACATGTTCATTCTGTTCAAGAGTCTTAACCAGATGAACATCTGGGATGGGTAGAAACTGTTCTAAAGGATGCAATTAGGAGAAAAAAGAAATCTCCCTGGCTAAAGAACAGTTAGACCAGGACTAGAAACATGCAAAATGTCTTTTTAAAAAGCCAGAAACTTGTTAAACATGCTTGTATACTAGCTTTTGTCAAACATACTAATTCACTGTGTTGTTGGCTGCCAATCAAAATAGCTGAATGTAGGAAAGGAATACTTCAAACCAGATGCTTGGACAGGACAGGGAGAAGAGGCCATAAGAAGCATTACTCCATCTTCTAAATTTTAAGAAACTATAAAGAACTAAGAAGGAGGAGCACGCATAAACTCATATAACCTCACATAGTATGAGATTACAATACAATTACATAAATGTACAGGTATATAATATGAACACATTCATATACACAGTATATCATGACTACATAAATGTATACATGTATGAGCACACACGTATGCACACACATAAAAACATATGTGTGTGTGTGTATATATATATATATATATATATATATACACACACACACACATACATACAGAGAGAGAGAGAGAGAGAGAGGGATATATTCACATGCATGTATTAGTTTCCTACTGGTTGTAGAGCAATTTCTTAGAACAAAGATTAGATATGGCAAGGAACTTGTCCTGGAGGAGCTTACCATATGGTATCAAAAAAAGAAGCAATCATGTATGTGAATGTGGTCAGGTACTTCTATGCAAATCTGATTTCACATATTTAAGAGTCCAAAATAGATTAGGCACAGTGAAGAATATATCCCCTTGATCCCTACACAGAATGAGTTTCCTGCCCTGCCCCCCTCTTCACACATATGTAAGAAGTCAAAGATGGTCATTTCTGGACATTAGCCCAACTATGCTCTAGGGTGATATGAGGAAATAGGAAAGGACACATCTGTGTTGCAACTAGTGCCAAAAGTGTGGTTCTTCTATATCTGATTTATTTCCTATAGGCTCAAAAAGCAAATTTACAAAGCACATCAGTGCACTGTGTTATACATCTTTAGCCAAATATTGTCCCTGTTTTGGCTGCCTTTCTATGACTCATGCTTATCTCTGATGATTTGTTTTGCTTTTTTTTTTGTTTCAGGCCTTCTTTGGGGAAACCAGCTGAGTAAAACGACTCATTTATTTGTAGGGGGCCAGCAGGTATGGGAACTGCAGAGAAGGCTAAATGGTGGAGACTTCAGGATCAGCTTGCCTGACTTGTCCTACAAATCTTCCATTGCATGATAGTTAACTAATGCTACCAGCCCCAAAATAGAAAACTGGCTTTGTTTTGAATCCAAGTTCTACCATGTATTTCCTCTGTGATCTTGGAATAAATCCTCCTATGGAAGATGGGTAGTTGGACTAAATGATTAAGCAGGGATGGGGAACCTGTGCTCTTCTAGGTCTTTCAGTGCAGCCATTTGACTAGATCCAAATTTACAGAAGAAATCCTTCTGTCATATAAAATCTGGATACAGGCAGAAGGCCTCCCTGAAGGACCTAGAAGGCCACCTGGGGCCTTAAGGAAGCAGGTTCCCCACGCTTGGATAGAGAATCCAGTGTTCCTTCTATATGTGGTTTTATTATGTCAAAGTGTTTTTGTATGTAGCAACTTATTGGCTGGGTTTGTTTCCTTATCTATTCTATTTTCTTTTAAGGGGGAATTTTATCCTTTCATATCTAAACATTCAGTAATTAGTTTTGTGTTTTCTTCTACTAATTTCTTTTGCATCCATCCCCTGTACTTCTTTTAAATCAGCATATTGTCCCTATTGTTAGTTTGGTTTCCAAAAACTGCATCATAGTCTTTAAAAACATTTACCTTTATTATGAATTTAACCAACATGAACATTTGAAAAGGTATAGAGGAGATTGTCTATGAAACAATTTCTATCACACACATTTTTTCAAAATTTGGGTGTTAAGTAGTAATAAAATGGTCCTCCATTTGTATGTCCACTTATGGGCTATAGTATAATTTCTTCCACATATTTTGAAATATTTCACTAACTCATTATTTTCCTCTTTTCTTCTTTGTAACACTAGTCTTTTCCTAAGTTTTACTTCTCCTGTTTCACTTGCTCTATCCCAGTTTCCTTGAGTATACTTACCAAGATGGAGGAGTAAGCAGTAAGTCATTCTCACACTCTCTCTTACTGACCTCTAAAAATCCAGAAATGATCCCTCCAGCAAAAATCCAATTATCCCTAAATATAGTTGCTAAAATTAAATACAAGCAGACAAATGAAATCTTAAGTCAACAGAGGACCACCACTATCACTGTACCTTCATGGCAGCAAGTTGCGAGGATGTGCTGGATGACGGGTCTGCTTTGGGCTGCTTTACCATCTCTGCCCCCAAGTTGCGCCACTGCAGCGGCAGTCCTGTACATATTTGTAGTTGAGGATCAAACTCCATGTGCACCCTGTGCTGGAAATTGCATGGCTTAGAAATGTCCAGCCTCATCTTCTTTTTGCTGCCAAGGGTGATGGAACACCCTAGAAAAATTGGGCAGAGGAGACGCCATTGTTTCTCACTATCACACAGAGCAAAGGCCACTTGTTAACTGTTAACAAACATGTACATACCCTAGATAGGTTATACATTGATTATATAGTATAACATATAATACATTATGTCCAGCTAGCAAATCCTGCAATGGTTGTACATGCAGGGACATGTGCAGGCCGCAAAATAAGAAAAGTTTACTCTCTGGGCCCTTCTTTCAATTTATCTTTGTAGCTGTATACCCCTCACCTACCTGCTCCCCACCACTCTATTCTCCCCTAAGCTTCTCAGAGCCACTTAGGAGCAGTGTTCCACTTAAGCCTGCATTCTATGTGTGGCATCCTGGATCTTCCTTACTTGTGCTTCTATCTTGGTACTTGTGTGATAAGTTAATTTCTACTGAGGTATTCATGTCGGATGGAGTCTGAATTGTTCCTTCTTCTTGACAACACATTGGGCATAGCACAAAAGGCTTTCCAAGATTCCTTAGCTTAAAGGTATGGATAATTTGGTGAAATTCAGACAATATACCAACCTGGGAAGCTGGGGACTTTGGGGCAAAGGGCATTTTGTTACCTCTTCAAGACTAGCAAGTTGGCTGTTTATCAGGAGACATGTGATATTCAATTAATCTAAACTAATTCAATTCAGCCAATATTTACCAAGTTTCTATTTCCAAAATGCAAAGCACCATTCTTGTGATACCAACATGAAGGACACAGGGCCTGGCCCCAGTCTAAGAGGAATATAGCACGTACACAAACAGGTATCATACAAGAAAGAATAGAATGGGAGTAGTTGGGGAGTAATTTGAGAACTCTTCAAGGAGAAAGTGGTACCTGAGTTGGATCACAAAGAAAAAGGAATTTCAATAATCGTTATTACCTATGCTACTACCAATAATTATTATAAATAACATTTGTATGGCATCTTATATGTGATCTCATTTTTCCTCATAATAATCCTATGAGATACATGCTCTTATTGTTCCCATTTTACAAATGAGTAAATGGAGGCAGAGGGGGCAGGTGGCTTGGCCAGAGTCACAAAGCTGGTATGTATTTGAGGTAAGAGTTGAACTCAAATGTTTCTTGTGACTTTGTGTTCTGAGCACTATGCACTGTAACATATAGGTGCTCACCGGGTAGAAGCAGAGAACAAATGCATTCCAAGCCTACTAGATAACTTGCATTGAACATACATTGGTCAGAAAAGGTAGGATGAAATTAGGAAATAGTTATTAGTCCATTTTGGCCAGAAAATATTGTGGAGGAGGGGAATGATGTGACATGAGGCCAGAAAGGCAAATTAGAACCAAACTGGGGATGAGACATAGACCAATATTTTAACAAGATTGGGCAGCTTGGTGGCATATTGGATAGAGTGCAGGACCTATAATCAGCATGTCATGAGTTCAAATCTGGTCTCAGACACCAGCTTCCTGCCCCATGGCAAGTCACTTAATCCTGTTTGCCTCAGTTTCCTCATCTGTAAAAAGAGCCAGAGAAGGAAATGGCAAATCACTCCAGTATCTTTGGCAAGAAAACCCCAAATGCGGTCCCAAAGAGTCAGACATGACTGGGAACAATTGAACAACAACAAGATCATTCAGGCAAAAAAAATAGGGGCCAGGTAAGAAGTTATTCTAAATGCTGCTGTAGGGAGAATTGGTGATGAGTCCCAGACTTGTGTTACAGTGGGAGGGATGAAGAGGAGGGTATATGAATGATGCTGTGGGGTTAGAATCAGCAGGACTTGCCTTGGAATAGATGTGGCAGGTGAGATGGAAGGAAAAGTGCAAGATGAGGACAAATTGAGAGTATTTCAACCCAGTTGCCTGAAAGAATGATGATGCCATAAAAGAAACAGGAAATTCGAAATGTGGGACAGTTATTAGGTCATGAATTTAGAATTAGAAGGGCCTCAACAAACCGTCTCGTCCAAATCCCTCGTTAATCAGAATCAGGAAACTGAGGCCCAGAGACATTCAGTGACTTGCCTGAGATCACACAAGAGGTAGGTGGCAAAATTGGAACTGCAAATCCATCAGTCTTTCTACTATACATGCCAAAGATAACAAAATGTTTGTATAGTGCTGTCTATTTACAAAATAATTTCTACAAAATCTTCTTGTTTGATTGGACACTAGGTTTCCAACAGGAGAAGTGACTTGTGACATTTGTGCACAGCTATCAGCAACAGGGCTCAAAGTCAGATTCTATCAAAGTGCTGAAGTTTCTTCCATTCCACCATGCACCCCCTGAATGACAAAGATCTTAAGTTATTGGAATAAACTTGACATTATGGGGAATTCAATCCCGAGGATAGCCATAAGCACATTGAAAACATTTTCAAAGAGATTGCTTGGGCATATTTACCTGAGAAGACATGCTAAGGAAATGATAGGGCAAATATGTTTAAATCTTAAATGGAAACAGTTCAGTCTTTTATTCCAAAGCGTGAGTTTCTCTTGCTCATTGCTGTGCCAATCAACTTAAGGTGTCTAAAGAAAATCCCAATGAGAAAATAATGCCATTGGAGTGTTTCAACTAGGAGTAAGGAAAGGTACAGCTCAGGCAGAATCAATGGGCCTAGAAGGCCTCTAGCAATATCATATAGTGGTGATGTGAACAGTAACAAAGCACTTCTATATGTGGAGTAAGAGTGAGTTAAAGGGTTATAAGAGGAAATGATTGAAAAGGTGGAAAATCATTCCTTCTACCAAAACAACATTTGTCTGAAGCATAGGCTGTTAGGTGGCAGCAAGCTAAAATAGTCTAGGTAATTAAATATTGGAAGAATAGAAGGACACATCTCATATAGTCTTACAAATTTAATAAAAAGAAACTTCATGTCTTTCAAAATTTGAAAAAAATTAGAAAACTGCTTTGCTCCATCCACTAAACTAGACAACATGGAGAGTATTTCTAATGTAGGGAAAGTAAGAGGAGGAGAAAATAGCCAGAGATATATAGGAAGCAAAATCCAAGGAAGGATTCAACAATAAAACCCATGGCCTTCTAAGGATGAGGTCTCTTTCAGTTTTAGATCTACAATCTAAGTGCACAAAGTATGGTTAAAAAGCAAGGTGCACTAGAGATCCTCATACAAAGAGGAAACTGTGACTACAGTAGTATCACTGGCACTTAGTGGAATGAAGCTGCTGACTAAATGTGGCTCTGGATAAATACAATTAATTTTTTAAAAAAAGAATTATGATAAAGAGGAGGGGACAATAACAGTAGTATTCATTCATATATGTATATGATAGGTTTCTGAACTTTGTCACATACATGGATCTATCATATGAATTTATATAATCTAGCATATTTGTATATAAAATTAATCACTACATATTTGAAATCTATCATATATCTATATGATAGATATATGATATATCTATCATATATCTATATGATAGATTTCTGAAATCTATTCTACACATATATGAATGTATACATATATATATACACATACACACATATAAGTTTATATATATGCCATTTATGTATGCATATGCATATATACACTCTGGGTGTGCATATATATATATATATACATATATATATGTCAGTGTGTGTGTGTGTGTGTGTGTGTGTGTGTGTGAATGTGACATAAAAATATATCGTAGTACAAATTTAAAAAATTATGCCGTATAAACCATATTTCCTTGAATCACTAGCTAGATCAGGGGAATTACGTGGAGAGACTTTACCTCGATTTTAGCACATTGAAAAAGTCTCTAGTGCTATACCCGTGGAGAATATTGAGAGATATAGGCTATAGTAGAGTATACTTACAAGGACTGAGAAGGGGTGTGAAAGATGAAGGATCTGCTATGTCTGTTTCTCCCTTTACTTGTTGTTCTACGAAGCTGCTCCACTGTATGGATAGTCCCGCAAAGTACCATCTCCTTCGTGAAATACTGTGTGTACTCAATGTTCAAAACTGCACGGAACAGAAATGTCAAGCCTTCTGTTCTTGTGTTTGAACAGGCTGCAACACCCTAGAAAAATTGAGCAGAGGAGGACCTATTGTTTCTCATCAACAAACAGCACAGCACAGGCCACTTAGTAATGTGAAAGAACATTTATATGCCCTAGATAGGTTCTATATTAGAACAAAGAGTATATTGTATTTTGGCCAATTTGTGTATCTTGCAAAGGTTGTACTCCTAAAATGTCCATATATCATACACATACATGAATGTATATATGTCTATGTGTGTGCATTTCTATGTGTGTGTATAGATGTGTATGGGTGTTTGTGAATGTGAAATTTAAAAAAAAGTTATCACAACACAAATTTTAAAAACCCTACATGTTATGCTAGACTAACCATATTTCCTTGAATTACGTGATTGCTAGATCAAGGGAAATATGTAGAAAGGGTTTCCCTAGATTTTAGCACAGCATTGGAATTCTCTAGTGCAAATAACCATGGAGAATATTAAGAGTTATAGGCTATGGTACAATTGTATAATTACAGGGATTCAGAGCAGATGGAATTGTTTGACTCCTGTCACTAACAGTCCAAAGGCAACTTGACAACAAAGGCAACGTGGAGTTCCCCATGGATCTGTGCTTTGTCCTTTTTTATTTAGCATTTTTCTCAAAGTTAACACAGAAGGGCAGAAACAGTATTCAAAGAACATGCAGACTAAGACAGGGGGCTAAATCAAGTCAGATAAACTTAGCACAGAAAAGCATAAAGCTTGACATTTGGGTTTTTTAAAACAAAAAAAAAGCAACTTCACAAATGGCCAGCATGGGAAGCATGGCTACATAGCACTCTGTCTGAAAAAGATCTGAGGAGTTGAGTGGACTTCAAGCTTAATGTGAGTTAACAGTGGGATGCAGTAGCCAAGAAACCTTAAGGTCCACTAAGAGAGGCAGTGAATTATCCTCCTATGACCTACTCAGTCCTTTTCTGTCTTTTCTTCCCATCTCCTGTGTCTTTCTTGTCATGCTCACTCCTGCTGTCTAGTCTTTCGATAACTGGGTTCCTTCCATTGTGTTCTCCATACACCAGCTTGTGTTGCTGAGACTTGTTGATGGATCCGTTAGACTCATGGATCCGTTAGACTCAGGCATCATCTCTCAGTTTGGCCCTCCATTCATTCTTTGGCTCTCTCTGCCTGTGCTAGTCTTCTAAACCTTTCTACTCCACATGTGCGCTAAGGGCTTCATTTCCTAGTCACCTCACCTTATCTGCACTGTTTGCTTTGTAATTCTGGAATGAAATGCATCTTCACCTGGGCCTATGGTATCTACATAAGTAAGGCTGGCTTCTTGTTTGCTAAACTCTTCATACCTACTTGATCCAGCCATGATCATTCAACTCTAGGTTCTGGAATTCATTCCTTGACTACTTCATCCTGTTACTGTCCTAGCCCCAATCCTGACAGATGACAAAACATATTTGTCTCTTTTTTTAGTCTTTTTTTTTATTGTACTATGCTCTGGAAATGCTTGTTTTCTACTATACATTAAAAAAAATAAAATAAAGTTATGAAGTCTGAGGCCCTCAAATGCTGAAAAAGTTAGGGACTAGACCTAGGAACCCTAAGTACAACAACCAAATTTCATCGGTGAAACAAATGGAGGTTACCATAGTACCTTGTACTGAAGTAATATTAAGTAATATAGTGTACATGCAAAACCACGTATAACCTATTCAATATGATGGAAATATTAAGGTCTTTTAATTTTTATTTCTTATTCTTAATATGATTATTCGATGCTGGAGAGGCAGTATGACAAAATGGATATAATCCTGGGCTAGGAATCAGGAAGAAGTGAGTTCTAATCTAGCCTCTGGCACTACAAGCATTGTGACCATGGATAGATCACCTCACTTCTAAGCCCCTGGAGTCTATCTAAGATGGTGTCCAATTCAAGTAGAAATCAGGGCCACTAAATGGTACATAAGGATCCCTGTGTCAGCACAATGACTTAGAAAACCACATATTAACTACCATCTATGTTTCCTTCTATTTTTATGTATTTTGTCATATATTTCCCAGTGACATTTTAACCTGGTTCCTCCCCACCCTGATGATCTAAGATATAACTTTTAAGCTAGTGATGGACTGTCATCTGGGTTGGTTTCTCATACTGACAAAATCACAGATCCATACCATATTGGCCTTTTTTTGAGACAATATGATCATCCTGTGTCAACTGAGTACTTCAAGAACGTACTTGTAGTTAGGATCTGAAGGGCCTGTTTCCTTTCAATGCAGCTCAATGTAGTACTTTGGGTGTACATAAAAGACCATTTCCACAGAGAATTTGACAGTTGGGAAGGGATACTCCTTGGATGAGATCCTTTCCACAACATTCCCAGTGAGCATTCAGCTAAGTGGCACAGGGGATGGAATACTGGGCCTGCAATGAGGAAGACCAGAGTTCAAATACGGTCTTAGCTGTGTGATCCTGGGCAAGTCATCAAACCTGTTTGCCTCACTTTCCTCAATTTCAAATGAGGATATCTTGCAGGGTTGGGGTAAGGATGAAGTGAAATAAAATTTGGAAAGCTCTCAGCCAGCTCTCTCACACATAAATGCTTATTTTCTGCCTTTTCTCATCTTAGAATTTCAGTACGTGTCTTACTCAGGGTTAGTTACACATCTATAATTACACAGGCAGCTGACTAGACAGGGTCATTTGAGCAGTGTTAAAAGAGGCTTCCTGAGCAAAAACTATACTGAACTGAAGTTTTGTGGCTACAGTTGCATTATGATATAACTCAGAGGTGGAGACAAGGAGAAAAAAGAACAACTAATAACTTGGGAATAGAGACAGCTCTATTTCCAGCAGTGGCTACCACCATCACCACATGTACAGCCAAGCCTTTTCAAGTCAGTGAAGTGATACTTAGTAAGTCTAATGGTTTCCATGAGATTTCAGGTCAAAATCATGGTGTTCCAAAGAAAATGAATTAATAGTAAGTCATTTCTAGGGTTGGGATATTATTGGGATATTGTGTGGAGGTTCAAATAAGGACAAAAATGGCAACTAAAAACTAATAATAACAAATAACAACTAATGACCAGAAATGATGATATAAAACAATGATATAAAACAATGATATAACTCTATCGTGATATAACTTAAATGGAGAAACAAGGAAAAATGGTAACTAATTAGTAATAACAAATAATAACTAAAAACTTACAACAATATAACTCAGTGATATAATTCTATTGTGATATAGTTCAAATTCTGAAACAAGGAAAAAATGGCAACTAGTAACCAACAATAACTAATAATGATGAAATTATTCTGTACTTTATTAAACTCAGAGAAAAAGTAGGGAGAATAATCACAGTTTAAGTAAAGCTTCTATCTCTGGTAGGAATAGCATATATATAACAAATTTAATGACTATGATTTCATTGTGATGTAACTCAGCAGCATAACTCCATTGTGATATAACTCAGAGGTAGACAGAAGGAGAAAAGATGGTAGCTAATAACTTGGGAATAAGAGACAGCTGTTTCTAGCAATGGTTGCCACCACTATCACCACATCTACACACAAAACTTTGCAAGTCAATGATGCAATAATTACCACATCTAACTGTTTTCATGAGATTTCAGTTAGAAAACATGGTGTTCCACAGGAAATGAACATATGAGACAGCAGGAGAGAATACTATTGAGATGACTTTGCCCCTCAACATTTTGGGATGAGCTTGAATCTCATCTTTTCTGGTACCCAATGTGCTTGTCTCTGTCTCAGGCCCTCTCCAAATACATGTATATTAAGCCTGATACCCCAGTCTGACTGGAGGTAATTTGGGGGTCTCTGTACCCCATTTGCAGGTTCTTGCTAAGTGGGGGATGCTCTGCTTGGGAACTCTGTGGTGTTTTCTCCCCTGTGACACTGCTGGCGGTAGGTAGGTTGGCCCCTGTGCCTGGTTGTGGTTTCTGTGTCTGGTTTGGGGGCCTCTATGCCCTGTGGTACATCTTTGAATGCTGTTTGCAGGTTCTCTTTAAGTGGAGGACACCCAGCTTGAGAACCTGGTGTTTTTACCCCTTCTATGAGATGCCATTTGGAGGTGGGGTGGCTTAAAGGGAAAGTGACTTCTTTTGGACTTACAGCAAAAGGGAACTCCTCCCGCACCACTGGAACTCCCCACTAGGCTGCCTCCTACAAAACAGGGACAAATTCTGCATAAGTCAAGTTTGTTTGAGTAAAATTAAAAAAAAACATTCTTAGGACTTTCCTCTCTGGCTCTGACTAGGCTGAAGCTAGAGGGAAAAATTAGATCAATTAAAACATCTTATCAGATTTTCGAGGTTTTTAGATTAGTCATTAAAGAGTGGTAAATTGACCATTTTAAGATTGCAGGAGAAAACTCCTGAGACTTTAGGTTAATTGCAGGAGTTCACCCCATTCTGAAACCCCTTGTCACAATTCTGGATCAGACTGAGGACGGTGGTTCTGGAGAGTTGTGGGGTGCCTGGGTTACCTTCACCTAACTGGCGAGGCACCCTTCCTGTTCATACCTGCCCTGTACCCCTGGGCACCCTGCAGCATAACCCTTTGGGCAGGGCCTGGAATGTCACCCTGTTTCACTTTGTCCTGGCTACCCTCCCCAGTAGCTGCAAGCAGCCCGAGCTTCAGGCTGCGTGTACAGCTGTGTGGAGAGGGGAAAAGGGAGCTGTGCCCCATGGACAGCATCCCTTGAACCCTATCACCAGGAATTTAGGGCTGGGAAGGCCCTAGCATAGGCCACCCTGGCCCCTAGGCAATGCCCAGCTGGAAGTAAGAAGACGCCAGCCAGCCTCTGTACTTGGTAAGCCCACCCTTCTATCAATAATTTTCCTATGTGATAATTTGGAAATGCAGTTGATGTCATCTGGTTTCTTGTTTGTGTTTTTATTGTATTTCTAAAGTGTACTGTAACATTCTCTTACATCATAAAATTTGAGTGACCATTGTGAGTCAGAAATGGTGGTAGACAAAGAAGTTTTTGATCTGAATTTTGTACATGAATTGGGCTTTTAAAAGGATTTGGTAAAAAAAAAAATATATAATTTGAAAACTGTGAAAGTTGTAGTTGCAAAATTTTAATAATCAGATGATTTTTTTTTGTACAAAGTAATTTGGAAATGGTGGTTCATGCATTCAACAGAACTGAAGTCACCTAATTGGTAATGGGTTTGTTTCATGTTTCAAGTACATAATATTGTTTTAACTTGGGAAACTCTTCTGTTACTTCCAGAAAGTATGCGGTTTACTCTCATTCCAGAGGAAAATATCATGGAGTGGACAGGTTGATCAGGTCCTTAGTTCCCGTGATTCCTCATAATTTGTAAACTTAACTCCATTTACCCAATATAAACATCCCACCCGCTGACTTTAAGCCTGGCCCGGTGCATTTGGCTGTCTATGTAACTTACTTGTCTGGAATTAACATGAAGTTAGGGTAGCATTATGCCATTACTGTATAGTGGTGTCCCTATTGTTTTATAACACATCTGTATAAGCAAGAAGTTTTGTAAGCACAATACTAAATCTATTAAATAATATAAATTGATTCTGAAACATTCCTGAGTTACTGTAATAAGATGCAAGTATAAGATTTGAAGTTCTTTTCCCTAGCTCATTATCCTTGTCAGCCACCGAAGCTCACAAGTAATTGAATGTAAAGTAGGGGAGCCCATTGTATTCTACTCAAGCTTGGGTTCAGAGAGATTCTCTTGTCTATATCACCCAAGGCTGGGACTGATCTGATCTATTTTTTCCCACAACTTCTTCCTATATTGGGACTAGGAATAGACAGTGCAGGTTTATGCAGATTAATGAAGAGAATCCCCTGGGTTGAAATTAACTGCATAGCTTGAGAAAGTAGGGTTTGAATAAGACATTCATTTTAACAGTAGGTGCAGTTAGGAATATGATAGAAATGTAAAGGAAAGTTGGGTAGTCTGAGTATTGAAAGATTTAGAAAGAGAAATAAGGTTTGATTGAAAATATGGAAGTCAGATAAGTAGGTTTGGGGACAAATGGGGGAAATCCAATCCCTTCTTGTCCCTGGAAAGTTATTCTGTGTACCCTTGTGCCAGCTTCAGATGGTTTAAGCATGATGAGAGAGTGAGAAGAAGTTTAATTTAAGAGGAAAGGTTGAAAATGAAAATGATGTCGCTTGATTATGAAGTTAATAGACAAAGGTATAGAAAGCTAGGAGGAATCAAAATGGAGGGTGCCACATGTTTCAAGCCTGTCTTGTTCACAGTTATAAAGAGGGAGTCTACACTCTTGTTAACACATCATGCTGTTTATATTGAGAATTCAAAGCAGGATGCGACACATATTGCAAAAATCCTATCAAAAGCCTTATAGTTGAAGGAAGTCTCCAGCTAACTGCTCCCCTCTGGATCATGGAGCTGAGGTTTCTGGTTTTTAACTGTAATCTTTTAATTCTCCTGTCCCCTCTCCTGACTGCCTACCTTCCCACCCTTTCTTATTGTCTTGTTGCTTTTAATGTTGAGACCTTGCCTTTTGAACCTTCTAATGAAGTTTGTGTCCTCCAGGCTAACTTCAATCAAATTTCAGATGGCACTGTTGGGAGGATACTTGTCCATACCCACCCCTCATCACCTGGACTTGGCCTATGCTCCATTCCAGTCAGTCTCTTGTCCCTTTCCCCTCCCCCTCCTTACCCCTACCTTTCCCCAGGACCCAGTGAGGCAGGGACAGCTCTACACCCCTTGTCAGCCTGAAGTAGTTCCAGAAGATGAGACCTCCACCCATGTTCCCAAAAGAATTTGAGTCCCCACTTATTTGAGGGCAAATTTTTGAGGAATGCATGGCCCTCTCCTTTTTTCCGAAATGAATTTGGGCAGCTACTTCTTGAGGGGGCAGATGAGGAGATTCAGATAGAATGGTCAGTGAAAACCCCATTATCTCAAATAGCACTTAAAGCCAGTTTAGAAGCCAATGAGATTCAAGTGGGCTGGTTTATGAAATACAAAAACTAAGGTGGGCGGAGGGCAGGCCCTAAGCCCCTGGCAAATGGACTGAATTATGGAATAATGGTAATGTGAGAAACTCAGAACTCCTGTCCTGAACTACCTCATCTCTTCACCCACTGCAGGTTTTATGCTGTAAAAATTCACAACCTCTCTTGGCTAGTGGGCATCTTTCTTAAGTGCGGGAGTGTTGTGCCCCTTAAGCAGGCATCTCCTTAATCGAGAGGCATCTCCCTTAAGTGGTCATCTCCCTTAGAGGTGCTCTCTCCTTTGTGGGCCTTCAACCCCCCTCCCCTTTAAGCTTGGGTCTCCCTTAAGCTGGGGCCCCATTAAGGTGTAGAGGAGCCTGCTTGGTGTGTTGTGTTACCCACAATAAATGGCTTTGCTTGATTTGGATACAGCGTGAGAGAATTCTTTCAGATGACTTTGCACCCCAACATTTTAGGATGTACCTGAACCTCATCACTTCTAGTGCCCAATGGGCTTGCCTCTGCCTCAGGTTCTCTCCAAAAGAAGGTAAGCCTGGCACCCTAGTCTGACTGGAGGTAATTTAGGGGTCTCTGTAACCCATTTGCAGGTTCTTGCTGAATGGGTGACTCTCTGCTTGGGGACACTGTGTTGTTCTCTTCCCCGTGATACTGGGGGACATGAGTAGGTTGTCCTCCATACCTAGTTGTAGTCTCTGCACTTACTTTGGGGACCTCTGCACCCGGTTTTGGGGCCTCTGTGCCCTGTGGTAGGTCTCTGTACCCTGTTGGGTTCCCCGCACCCCATCTGTAGTTTCCCTCTAAGTGGGGGACACCCAGCTTAAGAACTCTGTGTTTTGTCCCTTCCTATGGGACACCATGTGGAGGTGGGGTGGCTTAAAGGGAAAGTGACTTGTTTTCGTGTTACAGCAGCAAAGGAACTCCATACCACTGAACTCCCTACCAGGCAGTCTCCTGCAAAATGGGGACAACTTTGGCTTGTGTGAAGTTTATCTGAGTAAAAGGTCAAAAAAAAATGTTCTTAAGACTCTTCTTGCTATGGTTCAAGCTCCAGCTCACCTGAGGCTAGAGTGATGATTCCTAGGGATATTTGAGATTAGAGTATTATATTTACTGTTCATATGAATATCTGTTTTCTCCACTTGCTCTTTCTCCTTTTCACTAAGGAAAATTGTTCCAACTTAAAGCATTAATTAGGCTCCTTTGAAAATTCACTCTTTAATGCTTAGGAAATCCTAAAGGAAATATATACCAGTCATGTGGCACTAGTGTTAGAAAAATGTTAATAAGACAATAGCACTTAGTACTGGTAAAATAACTTAGTTATCTCATGTGAGTTACTATTTCAGTCAAAGCCCCACCTTTTAGGAACTCTATCACAACTCAGAGTTCATGACCAAGAAGATAACTATTGTACAAGTCACATACATTGTGCTGATAGTACTCCCTCCTTATCAAAACCTCTGCAGAAGAAAGGGAAGTGATCTGGCTGTTAGTTGTAAAGAGGTGGCCTGGAACAATGAAGATGGTTTTAGATCCTCAGTCAGGAAGACCTGGGTTAAAATCCTGCCTCTCACATCTACTACCTATATTACCTTGGGCAAGTTACCAAATGTCTTTGTATATCAAGAGATTCTCTAGGACTTATCCACTAACTCTTAAATGGTATCACATACTGATATCATAGTCATAAGTCATAAATGGGAGCTCCTGGTATCACATACAAAAATCACAAATCCTTCACATATTTGTTTGCATGAGAAGTTAAAATCCTATTTTTTCCTCTGGAGATAGTTCTTCTCACTCTTAGACTGACTATTAGACTTTAAAATTGATAAATATGTAAGGGTGGGATTCTGTTCTCCTCCCCCTAATTAATCAATCAACACAATAAAGTGGGTATTAAGGAATTTCCTTTAAAAAATCCTCATAATAGGTGGACAAGTCTTCAATCAATTTGAAAGATCCGTGGGATTTGGGGCCATTGGATGAAAGGTGGAAGACGTCACACAGGAAATATCTTGTGATTGGTTCACAAGGTAAAGTCATATCATCACACTTCTTGGACTCTTTGTAAAAATTTATTTGGACTATTTATAAAAATGGCAATTCTGTTGAACAAATATATCAGGCAAGAAGAATCAGGTGAACCTGATTCTTCCCCAGAAAAATTGGGAGTGGTAATGAGCACTTCAGTGCTATACAGACAGGATTCCTAGAAAATCAAACCAGTTTCCATAGATATTTTAAGATAACACTTATGCATTTCTCTTTAATTCTGTCCATAATTTTATAACTTCTGATTCTTCATCAATTAATCTCCAAGAATTTTTTGAGAAAGTCCTTAAAAGAGAGGGGTAAAGACATCAATAGCTTCTGGGAGCTGGGTAATGGAAGTTTTAGAATTATAATTATTGCTATTAATACTTCAGCTAATACTTTCAGTGATAATAACATCCTCCTATATGGGGCATTGACAAGCATGACAATGGTAATATATTGATTGTGAAGACAGTGTATCTGATGTGAAAAAATAAGTTAATTAACCAGGGTCTTTAAGTGACCTGTAAACACTAAAGAAATTTATTTAGCAGGAGTTTATCTGTCAAAGAACTACCTTAGAAACTCCATGAAAACCCAGAGCTCATCATTAACAATTTCTCATTACAGTGGACAAATGACTTTACTGCTAAGAAATCTCAGTTTTCTCAGTGGTAAAGAAG